AATTGGTGGTGAGAAAAATAGAGAGTACCGAACTCAAGAATTTCTAACGTGTTCTTTTTTTTTTCTCCAATAAAATGAAGTTATTCAGTAAATTCATTGGTTTCTCCAAAATTTATATTTTTAGACTCAATATCATACTAGTTGGTTGTGTCAGATATACATCTTCTTCCATTTTTTTATTTTTTAAAATACAATAGAAATTTTTTTGGATATACATATCCGTTTTCGCAAAAAATAAAGTTTATTCATATATATATATATATATATATATATATATATATATATATATATATATATATATATATATATATATATATATATATATATATATATTTGAATTTTTGTAAAGTTAAATAATGTTTTGTTCAAATTTGAGACAATTTCTTCATGCACTATTATGTTTTTCTAAAGGTCTTTGATGAAATTTCAGTAATACTCTATAAATTCAAATATATATATATATATATATATATATATATATATATATATATATATATATATATATATATATATATATATATATATATATATATATATATATATATATATATATATATATATATATATATATATATATATATATATATATATATATATATATATATATATATATATATATTTGAATTTATAGAGTATTACTGAAATTTCATCAAAGACCTTTAGAAAAACATAATAGTGCATGAAGAAATTGTCTCAAATTTGAACAAAACATTATTTAACTTTACAAAAATGATTTGTAGAGTTAGAGTAACCCAGGACTTAGATCCTTTCTATCAATATTTTCTTTTTTACTCTCGATGCTCTCTATCTCTCCCTCATGGTATGTTTGGTTTAGAGGAAAGATATGAAGAATGAATGAAAGTGAGTGGAGAGATTCATGTTCCACCGTTTGGCAACACTATAAAAAGAGAAGGAAGGAAAGATTTAAATGGGACCTACCAAATTTTTTTTTTCAACAATGTGTTGAAGTGAAAGAAGAATTAGACTAGATTTAATTAAAAAAGACAAAAACAATCTTGAAAAATATTAATAACTAGTCAGTCAAAAATTTGTGTTATCATACGAGTTTCGTCTGAATTTATATTACATATCGTGATATGTTATTTATCAGTTTTAAATATTTAAAAAGTTTATTAAAGTAAATAAATTATACAATTAATTTTTTAATTTTAATTATATAAAAAAAACATTCACATCTATCTATAAATTTGTGCTTTCAAAAACATTCATTACAATAATATGTTTTTTTATAAACAACTAATTTATTTTTTTAACTTATTAAAACTCACATTTGAAACATGTTATGAATAGATTGAAGTATATTGAAAATCAAATAATATATCAACTAACAACATGTTATGACTAAATTTGAAACATGTTATGACAAAGTATCTCATAGAATTACATAATATCAATTACTTTAGCATCTAGTTACATAATAGATAAACAAAACATGATTATGGGTCTGATTTTAAGTGTTTAACTCTAGCTTAGGCATCTGAATATATGTAGTGTATTAATAATTTTATATTTTTTTATTAAATTAAAAATTTTAATTTAATTAAAAAATAAAATATGAAAATGGAAGGATAGTGGCTTAAAGTAGTATAACACAAATATATTATAGATTGTGTATAGTTAAAACTCAAATATATTATGGATTGTATATATAAATGATGATAATAAAAAAGAATTAAACTAATAAATTTTAATGCAAATGTTGGCAAAAAGTAGAACTCTGCCTTGTAGAATCTACCAATGAGTTGTAAGAGAAATTTTAATGCTAACTTGGTAAATTTGTTGCATATATTTTATTTTATTTTTTTTATATTTAAAATAAAAGAGAGGAAAAATACCATACACTACATAGAACAAAGAATGTATCGATGTTGTTTTTAAAGCTTTTTTCAAAAATTCATTTCTAATTCGGCGTAAACAAAACAAAGCATAAAGGCCTACTAAAAACACATAAACGTTTATCATAAAATGGGTGTCTCAATTTCATATTTGTACCTGTTCTTTTTTCTTGATTGTTAGTAGGGGTGTTTGCGGTGCGGTTTGGGCGGTTTTGAAGCAAAAAATCACCCGAACCGCAAGAGAAAAAAACACGCGGTTCGGTTTGGTTCGGTTGACTTTTAAAAATAAATCCGAACCAAACCAAACTAATGTGGTTTGGATTGGTTCGGTTGATTCGGTTTTTTTTTAAAAAATTATTAAGTCATACAAACAAATATAGAGGAAAATATAATTTTGTGTTTAATTGTTCGTACATTACCATAAAAAAATTTATAATTGTCAAAATAAGTTTATAATTTGCTACATAAAATTGCGTATTATAATTTTATCTAAATCTAAAGAATGATATAAACAAGATTGCATTCTTAAATAAATATTATACAAAAAATACGATAAAATATAGTTTGTGGAAATAGTATTTATAAATGAATAATATTTTATTTTTGTATGATTTGTAAATTAAAATGAATATACAAGGTATGATAAAATATACACATAATACATGTTTATTTCTCTAAAGAATTAAAGAAATATATATTGGTTAGTAAGATTTTATAACATAATGCGGTTTTGTTTGGTTTGGTTCGGTTTGTAAAATATAAACCGCAAACCGAACCAAACCGTGCGATTCCGAGAGAAAATGACCCAAACACATCCGAACCAAATGCGGTTTTTTACGGTTTTGGTTTGGTTCGGTTTAGTTTTGCGGTTTTCTATTGGGCCGGTTTGGTTTTGAACACCCCTAATTATTAGATTAATATTTATGTTATTATATGAAAACCTCCTTATCTTATTAAGGCTTATAGAATATTAGTACTTTTCTTTTTTTTTTATTGAAGGCAATAGTTATTCAAAAATGGAACAAAAGAACAAATCCAAACTAAAAAATTTAACCCTATTTTCAAAAATATATGAAACTTGTGGTATCTAAAAAATCTTGTTTTTTTGAACATGAAGAAATAAAGAAGTCATTGCAACTGCCGGAAATACTAGGCCTACTAAAGGAACAAAAAGGGATGGTAAGTTTATCATAAAATGGGGTACCTCAATTTCATATTTGTACCTGTTCTTTTTTGTTGATTGTTAGATTAATATTTGGATTCTTCTTATATTGGAATAAAGAAAGTCTATAATCACTAGAATTCATATAGACTTATACTAAGTCTATTTTTTAAATTCTACTATGTAGAGCTAAATATTCTATATGGAGTATAAAAGAGAATAAACTCATAAGAAAAAAATGGAATAAGATTTATTAAGAATCAAAATCGTTAATTTTAATAATTTGAATATTAAATTCAATATAAGGAATGTCGAACGAAATAACTGGATTTATTTTGCTGTCTATTTCTACAAGAAATATGTCCATGATAATTAATCTTTATTTTTTATTCTTATCTTATTACTTTACTCTTGTGTGTTCTCATTTTCTTTTTATATCATTTTTATATAATAATAAGATTTCTTTATGATATTAATTTTATGATATTAATGAAAAGTTAAAAATTGAAAAACATAAATAAAATGATAGTCTGCATTAGTTTTCATTTTCAATCCAAGGAAAGCAACCATGGAATTCAAATAACTCACTTAAAAAGTCCTTTAAAGAATCACGTGATACAATTGAATCCAATTAATAAGCCTTTTTCGAAAAAAACTTCAGCCGATTGGGAACCTTCAGGCACTTCCTTATTCAACGTTTGTTCAATTACTCTTTTACCCGCAAATGCAAGGTAAGCTTTTGGTTCGGCAATAATGATATCCCCCAACATCCCAAAACTAGCTGTTACTCCACCAGTAGTAGGCGATGTAAGTATCGCTACATAGAGTAACTTTTGATTGATTTGATAATTATATAAAGCAGAAGATATTTTAGCCATTTGCATTAAGCTCAAACTTCCTTCTTGCATACGCGCTCCTCCGGACGCACATACTATAATAAGAGGTAAAAGTTGATTGGTAGCATATTCGATCAACCGAGATATTTTCTCACCCACTACGGATCCCATACTACACCCCAGAAACTGAAAATCCATAATACCTATTGCTATAGGAATACCATTTAGTTGACCTGTGCCTGTTTGAACCGCCTCCAGTAATCCTGTACTTTCTTGATAAAAATCAAGACGATCTGTATAAGGTTCATCTTCCGTAGAAGATTCGTATTTGTCTTCCGTAGAAGGTTCGTCTTCCGGAGAAGATTCGTATTCGTCTTCCGTAGAAGGTTCGTCTTCCAGAGAAGATTCGTCTTCCGTATAAGGTTTGTCTTCCGTAGAAGGTTCGTTAGAAGGTTTGTCTTCCGTAGAAGGTTCGTTAGAAGGTTTGTCTTTCGTAGAAGATTTGTATTCGTCTTTCGTAGAAGATTCGTATTCGTCTTCCGTAGAAGGTTCGTCTTCCGTATAAGGTTTGTCCCATTCAATGGGATCCAGAGAAAACATGTCTTCATCCATAGGATTCCAAGTACTTGGATTAATCGAAAGTTTGATTCTATCTGAACTGCTCATTTTCAAATGATCTCCACAGTGTTCGCAAATATTCATTTTGGATTTAAAAAATTTCTTATAATTTAATCCAAAGCAACTTTCGCATTGAACCCATAAATGCTTAAATTGTTGAGTATAAGAAGTATCTTTTGGATCATCAGGATATTGTATTGGAGTAAATTTACTATTATTTGTATCATTAAAATATTTTATTGGAGTAAAATCACTATTATTTGTATCATTAGAATTTTCTATTGGAGTAAAATCACTATCATTTGTATCATTAGAATTTTCTATTGGAGTAAAATCACTATCATTTGTATCATTAGAATTTTCTATTGGAGTAAAATCACTACCATTTGTATCATTAGAATTTTCTATTGGAGTAAAATCATTATCATTTGTATCATTAGAATTTTCTATTGGAGTAAAATCACTATCATTTGTATCATTAGAATTTTCTATTTGATACAAATCACTATCACTTGTATCATTAAAATTTTATATTTGATACAAATCACTATCATTTGTATCATCGGAAATGTAACTATTCAAGTCACTGATATTGGCATTGTAGTTGTCACTATCATCTAAAATGTAACTAGCAATACAGATTTGATAACGAAGATAACTCTCAATCCAACTATTAATGTTCTTAATCCAATTACATTGAGTATCATCTATGTAATTAGGATCATTACTCTTAGAGACATTTGTCAAATAGCTATAATTTTGATAACTAGCAAAAAAACTTTTTGGTTCATTAAAAAAAGAATGATTATTGTCAATCTCCAAAATTTGACATTCAATAGCAAAATCTATGGAATAACTATTCCTATTACTATCCCTAACTAAAAAAGTTTTATCAGATAGGAAATTTTGTATGTTGCTGGCATCTACTAAATAATCACCATGGTTGTAACTATCATTTTCACTATTGTTCTTCCAACTATGAATGTCATTATCCATATCAGTTAAAATAGATGGGTCATCAGTTAAAATAGATGGGTCTTCATTTACACCGTTATTTTCAATAGGATCAAAACTATCTATTGATTTACTTAAACCACACCTATATTCTAAATCCCTATTAAACAGCATTGAATTGAACCACTTTCTTTCCATAAATCTGTTTCCCTCTATTTCATGAAAATACAATAGATGAATAGTCATTCGATGATCATTTTTTATCGACTTAAGTATAGAAATAGAATTGCTAGGATTAATAACTTATAATAATAATGAGCGAAGAAGTATTGAAAAAATGTATCATTTATATTTGAATATCAAATCAATAACCATTTCTAATATAAAAATAAATGAATAGAATAAAAACAAAGAAGTAAAAAGGTTCATTTGGTCTACGGTATTTATGCACCAAATTTGTTTATTTCTTGACTTTTTCCTAATATGAGGTAGGTTGAGCACCGAATTTTGGAATAACATGAATATTAGAATGGGTTATTTAGTGGATAAAAAAAGGACTTTCCGAAGATAACCTCCCTCTCTTCGGGATCGAACATGAATTTCAACGATTCGATAAACGGATCGTTCGAATTCATATAGATGAACAATATATCCCCTAGAAACGTATAAGAAGTTTTTTCTTCGTATGGGTCAATTCAAAATTATGTCTATAATTATGATATAAAATAGATCACTCAAATCAAAAAATCGAGGATCCCTATTTCTAGATACTAGAAACTAGATAGTATAAAGAAAATAGGGCATGTCAGAATCCGCAGCTAATATAGTCACGTTTTTCAAGTCCCACGCTGCTTTTTACTACATCGTTTCAAACGAGGTTTTATCATAACATTATTTTTTAGTTTCAATCTGGTATGTAATTGATTCCATTTTGAAATCGTGCATAGTCATTGACTCAATCAATAGATAATAATATATACTTTTCACTTCTAGGTTTTAGGTTTTCTGACTATACAATTTTATTTCTAAAGTCAAGAAGTAGAAATTAAGTCAATATTCTATTTTCATGGTTTGTAAATTAAATCTAAAAAATCAATTTCTAAAAAAAAAAGGAATCTTTATTCGGATATACAATTTGTATTGAAATAGGTATATATCTTGAATAGATATGATCTGGGACGGAAGGATTCGAACCTCCGAATAACGGGACCAAAACTCGCTGCCTTACCGCTTGGCCACGCCCCATTTTGATTTGACATTAATAAATAGTATTATGAGTTGTTCGTCAATTACACTTCGAAATTTATTCTATAGAATAAATTGTTGCTAGAATTTTGATATGTATCGATATCGAATTAAACGAAATTTATTGATCATTCCATATAATTCAATTAAGATATTGTTTGAACTTATTCAGTTCAAATCAAAAAAAGTGGGGGTCTGATCTTAGTTGATTCATCTTTTTTTTCTTCGTTTTATTACTGATTTAGTAATCTTCATATCTATAAATAGGAAATCAATATTTTATATTCTATCCTTTTTTATTTTCAAATTATTCATTTTCTATTCTATATATTATCTATTCTATATAAATAAAATCAAAAAATTTTGATTTTATATTTCATTGTTAATATAAAAGTATAATACAAAAATGGATAATAATAATAATAAATTATATAATAAATCATATCATATATAGAATAAATCATATCATATATAGAATAAATCATCTATATAATAATAAAAAAATACAATCAAAATTAGAATTAAAAATAAAAGAAAAAAGACAATTCCTTTTCTTAAAGAAAAACATTTTTGTTATGCTTAATATCTTTAGCTCGGTCTGTATTTGTATTCACTCTGCCCTTTATTCAAGTAGTTTTTTCTTGGGGAAATTACCAGAAGCTTACGCTTTTTTGAATCCAATTGTAGATTTTATGCCATTAATACCCTTACTCTTTTTTCTCTTAGCTTTTGTTTGGCAAGCTGCTGTAAGTTTTCGATAAGATCTTTAATTTGAATAATGTCCAGAAAAAAAGTCAGAATTTATTAGAAAACTCAAATTTTAACATTTTTAAAAATAAGATAAGTCTTACAGTGTGAATCTGTGATTATAAATCTTGAAATTGTTGGATAGACAATAAAAATATGGATCATCTCATCATTTCCTTTTTTTCCATTCAAAAATAAAAATTATATTATTCTATTATTCGATTTGAGTCTACCACCAATAAGTGGATCTTGTGGATATGAAAGAAAATTGAATTGTTGGTAATGGTAAAAAAAAAGGCCCAACTCTTACTACAAATCAATTTTTTTAGTTTTTTTGAAATAACTTCATTTCTTATAAACTGAGTATCAAAGGAAACATAATATGAAATACAAGAGAATCTATTCTCTTTCTCTGTCATTTTTTTTTATTATCTTGGAGATTTTGTAATGCTTACTCTAAAACTATTTGTTTACACAATAGTGATATTCTTTGTTTCTCTTTTCATCTTCGGATTCTTATTTAATGATCCAGGACGTAATCCTGGACGTGAAGAATAAGAAAATCTTTTTTCTTTTCCGTACTTATGCTGGATTTTTAAATATTTTTCGTTTTTCTATCTATTTTACATCTTTAACTAGTAAAAAATGAAACAAACAGGGAATAAAAAAAAAGAAATTCCATAAGTTCAAAAGAAAAAATGCCAAATCATCAATAAACGGAAAGAGAGGGATTTGAACCCTCGGTACAAAAATCCGTACAACGGATTAGCAATCTGACGCCTTAGTTCACTCAGCCATCTCTCCCCAATTCAAAAAATTGAATTATTATGCTTATGATACCTCGGATAAACAAAAAGTAGGGCTCAAAAAAGCCTTCTATATATCTTATTTGATATTGATCGTCATTTGATATATCTTATCTATCTATCTTTTTTCTATTTGATTATCATTTTATTTAATTACTATTCATAATTCTATATTAACTCATAAATATTAGTTATATTTTCTTATACCTATACTAAAGTTATATTCTATATATACGCAATATAAATTTTTTTATTTTCTTTTTTTTTTAGTTTGTTTTTTTATCCAACCAGAGTCCAGCTAGGTACTGGCACAGCTCTTTTTTCCCATGAATCACAATGATTTATTTTTCTGTATCAGATTTGAAAGAATTTTGTAATTAAGGAAAACATTTTAATACGATCAAACAAAAATAAAAATAACTTTTTGATCGTATATCATACGAATTAATCAGTTAACGTATCTAAAAAAAGAAATAGAACTATGGATTCTTGCACAATGCATTTTTGTCTTATGAATTTCGTTTAGTAATTTTGTCGAGATCTATCTGTCAAAATACCTTCAACAAAATCCAAAAATGAGATTCTCCCCCTTTTCTAAATTTCATTTGGGGGCCCTTTACGAAACATGTGAACACTGTATTTATCATAAAATTCTGCACCTATTTTATAATTAGGACTGATTCCCCTTCCTGTATTGATATTGACAAAAAGATCTTTTTATATACAATAATAGTATTGTAACGGATATAGTTTAGTGGTAAAAGTGTGATTCGTTCTATCGACCCCTTAATAGTAATAGTTAAGAGGTCCCTTCCGTGATTCATATCACGATCAAAAACTTTATTTCTTACTTAAAGGTATTTAATCCTTTATACCTCTCAAGGAGCAATTCGAGGAATAATATACATTATCTTAATTTGTATACAATTTAGAATTGATTCTAAAATTATGAAACATAAGTTTTTACAATTGGATCCAGAATCCCAATTTTTGAATATAAGTAAAGGATCCAGGGAGAAAGATATATAAAATTCGTGTCCAATCGTAACTAAATCTTCCAATTTTTTTATTATTTGTTTTGTATAGGAGAGATTGAAGCAAAATAGCTATGAAATGATTTTTTTAGTTTACTAGAAACATCAACATATTTTTTTAGCTCGACGGAAATTTTATTCTTTTCCTAAAGATTCTCTCAAATAGAAATAGAGAACAAAGTAACTAGAAAAAAAGAGATTGTTCGAATACTCCTTTTCTATAGGGATCATCTAAAAAGCAACGTTAATTGTATTCATACCGAAAGGCTGACATAGATGTTATGGATTATTTTTTTCATGTATTCCATCTATCTCTTAAATTATTCTGTAAAGGAGCTGAATGAAACAAAAGTTTCACGTTCAGTTTTGAATTAGAGACGTTCATTCATAAACGTCGACTATAACCCTTAGCCTTCCAACCTAACGATGCGGGTTCGATTCTCGCTACCCGCTTATATTCTATTTTTTATTTAGTAAATTTCTTCATTTAGTTTTAGTATAGAATTCTTTTTTCTTTCCCTTTTCACGAAATTTTCGTGAAAAGGGAAAGAAAAAAAGAAAAGCGTCCATTTTCTAATGGATAGGACAGAGGTCTTCTAAATCTTTGGTATAGGCTCGAATCCTATTGGACGCAAATTGATTACATATTGAATTGATTGCAATTGCATATATATTAATTGAATTCATATATTTCTAAAAATATATTGTGAATTTATTATCTTTATGATTCTTTTTTTTAAGAGACTAATGATAGAAATTTTTTAACGGTATGAAAATTTTAATCAATTTTTTTCTACTTGTTCCTGAAGTAAAAAGAGTTCCATCTGTTCCTGAATAGCTTCCTTCAAAATGGCTTCTGCTTCCCTAGTGAATGTCTTGGTAGAAGATATGATTTCGTTGAATTTAGGTTTATTCGTTTTTAAATAAGCTCGTAACTCAAGGAGAAATTTCCTTACCTGTTCAATTTCTAATGAATCAAGATAATCGTTCGTTCCAGTATAAATAGTTATTATCTGTTCTTCCATAGTAAGAGGAGTTGATTAGGATTGTTTAAGAAACTCGCGCAATCGTTGACCTCTTGCCAATTGATTTTGCGTGGCTTTATCGAGATCTGGAGAGAATTGTGCAAAAGCTTCTAATTCTGCGAATTGTGCCAATTCCAATTTTAATTTACCAGCTACTTGTTTCATGGCTTTTATTTGAGCCGCCGATCCAACTCTGGAAACGGAAATACCCACATTAATTGTGGGTCTGATCCCAGCATTGAATTAATCGGCAGATAAGAATATTTGGTCGTCTGTAATAGAAATTACATTAGTAGGAATATAAGCTGAAACATCTCCTGATTGGGTCTCAACTATTGGTAAAGCAGTCATACTTCCTTCACCTAACTGAGAACATAATTTAGCGGCTCTTTTCGAAAGCCGCGAATGTAAATAAAAAACATCTTCGGGATAAGCTTCACGACCTGGTGGTCTTCGTAATAGAAGAGACATTTGGCGATAAGCCTATGCTTGTTTGGAGGGATCATCATAAATGATTAAAGTGTGGCGTTCACGGTACATAAAATATTCAGCCAGAGTTGCTCCTGTATAAGGTGCGAGGTATTGTAATGTAGCTGGGGAATTTGCTATTTCAGCCACTATAATAGTGTATTCCATTGCTCCTTTTATTGTAAAGAAGTTACGACTTAAGCCACAGAAGATGCTTTTTAACCAATAGCTACATAAACACATACTACATTTTGTCCCTGTTGATTGAGAATTGTATCTGTAGCTACTGTTGTTTTACCAGTTTGTCTGTCCCCAATAATCAATTCTCGCTGGCCACGCCCTATAAGGATCATATAATCAATAACAATAAGTCTCGTTTGAAGGGGTTCATACACGGACCGTCTGGAAATAATACCGGGAGCGGGAGATTCGATTAACGAGATTCCAAAGCTGAAATTTCTCCTCGACCGTCAATAGGTTTAGCTAGGGCATTTACAACACGACCCAAATAACCCTCACTTACTGGTATCTGAGCAATTCTTCCTGTTGCTTTTACGGAACTTCCCTCTTGTATCATCAAACCATCACCCATTAATACAACACCAACATTTTTTGATTCCAAATTCAAAGTAATGCCTATTGTACTTTCTTCAAATTCTACTAATTCACCCGCCATTACTTCATCAAGACCATAAATACGAGCAATGCCATTGCCTACTTGAAGTACGATACCTGTATTTACAATTTTTACTTCGGTATTATATTGCTCAATACGTTCACGGATAATTTTACTAATTTCATCTGCACGAATGGTTACCATGAATATTTCTGAATTTGATTCTTTTTCGAAGAAAAACAAAAAGAAGGCTTGTCTGCCTATACTCTCAATTATAGTAGAACAACTAATCAGTTATTTTTTTCTTTAATCGCCCCAAACATACCAATATTAGCACTGATCGTACGTAAATGTAACTCGTTGTTTAAGAAACTATTCAAAGTTCCCAGAGCTCATTGTAATGCTTGTTGTAAAACCCTTTGTTGCACTTGATTAATTGCCCTTTGTTGTTCAAAATGAATGGTTTCATTTTTGTAATTTTCGAATTGTTCAAAAGTTGTATAAATTGAATTAATTAAATTCAATTTTTCTCGTTCTATCTCGGAATAACCATTCACTTAAAACCGATCTGCTTCCATTTCTACTTTTCTTAAACGGGACCGGGCTTTTTCCAGCTGTTCAATGGTTGTTTCCCGTAGTTCTTCTGAATTTTGAATAGTTCTCAAGATTCTCTGTTTTTGATTATCTAATAAATCACTTAATGAAAGTAGATTCTCTTTCCATTCATTTCAAAATGTCTATGATCTCTTCCCGAACCAAACATGAATCTTTCAATTCATTTGGCTCTCACACTTAATTCCTTATAGGAAATTTCCCCATATTTATTATGGAATGAGCCTATCCTCTTTTCTCTATTTCGAAAAATCTTGAAAATAATTATCAATACAAGACCCAAATATTTGGAGGACTCTTCTGACCAAACAAATAGTTGTCAGCAAAGTTGTTTTTTTTTCTTGAAACCCAAAGAATTCTCATTAATTTATACGTAGGTCATCAATTCTGCATTGTAGAAAAGTAGAAACGGAGGCGTTAAACATAACACCTTTTTCCTATTTTTCATCCATCATAAAGAGAATTCAAGTCAGTTTTTCGACATGAGTGTTCTATATCGAAAAAAATTCTAATTTCACTATTAACATAGTGGTAGAAAGAATACTAGATTGCGTCGAAACTTCAAACTGGTTAGCTTTAACCATGGTAATGTTCCAAAATTCTTGGTTGATAGAGAATAAAAGTAGATTTCCCAATGAACCGCGAAATGCTATGGTTCTTAACTATTTTTTTCTCTCGTTATTTTGTAAGAAGTCATTCGCCGGATCATGCACATTTTCCTAGTTATAACAAAAAAAATGCAGTTGGTTGTAATCAATCTATTCTTTGAAATAAACAACTCGCACACACTCCCTTTCCAAAAAAAATCAATACACCTAGCACTGCACTTAGATTTATTAGATTTGTTGTTAAAATATCGGTATTAAACCCGAAACTTCCGGCGGATGGCCAGTAAATGAAGCAAAGAAAAGAATCAGTTATATTTTTCATATGATCGCGTCTCCTCTTATGGATAGAAAAAATTTCTTTCTACGATTCCAAATTTTTTTTATTTGTTTATGATAGTTTATTCTATAATCTAATTTTTTAATTATTTAATATGAATATATCAAATTAGTATATTTTTATTCTTACTAAAATTAGTATATTAGTAAGAATAAAAACATACTAAAATTGGTTAGTCAATTGAAAGAGTCCCTATAAGAATGATACTTCTTAGAAGGAAATACTAGTTCTTATGTCAATTGCAAAATACTTAGTTGGTTTCAACACTTTCTAAATCAAAAAAGGGGTCAGTGGACTAAAAAAAGGGACGGAAGAAGGTGAATCAGTATGTTAATCCGAATGAAGAAAAAATTGTAGGAGTAAAATCTAAATAGAATGAAAAAAATTGCAAGAGCAGCAACTAAAGTCCATGGAAAAAATAAGATGTATTTTTTTTATTAAACAAAAGGATTGGCAAATAAAAGAGCTAATGTTACAACCAGCCCATAAATAGTTAAAGCTTCCATAAAAGGCAGACTAAGTAATAAAGTACCCTGTATTTTGTCCTCTGCTTCCGGTTGTCTCGCAATCCCTTCTACAGCTTGCCCTACAGCTGTGCCTTGACCAACTCCAGGTCCAATAGAAGCAAGCCCGACGGCCAACCCAGCAGCGATAACAGAAGCAGCAGCAATCAGTGAATTCATGATAAGTTTCTCCTATTCCAAAGAAAACAAAAAAATAGTTAATAATATAATCAACAAAAAAATTATGACTTAATTATTTCATTCTTCATATTTCTCTTTATCTAGTCGAAGTGTAATTTAAAATTTCAAACTTAATAATTTTTATTGAATTATCCCAATTACTTCGATATTAACTTTTTTCGTTTCTACCCTTGTAGTTTTTTGTGAATACATACAATTTTTGGTCTTATCTTACATTTTAAACTTTTTTTTTCTTTGATTTCATTTTTTTAGTCATTTTATATTCAATTCAGAATTATAAGAGATATAATCTTTTTTTTGAATCCCTACCTAAATTTAGAGTAGTAGCAGAACAAATTTAGATAGATCGTCATATATAACTAATGAATATCTACTATGACATATACATGTGTTTGTTCCATACCGTAAACCAATGAGTTGTATCTTAGATTCAATCGATCATTCTTGGAAATTCCCCCGCTGTCTTATAACGATTAGATTATATATACACCTAGTTTGACCCCCTCAACCTTTTTAATTTATTTAATCTCTATTTTTTTTTACAATTCCCTAGTAATTGTTTTAATTTTCTTTCTACTTTTTGATTGTTATTAAACCTTTTTAAAATTTCTTTGTATTTTTTTATTAATATTCCTTAAGTATATTATCGCGAGCCACACATACTTTGTTGCGGGCTAAAACACGATTTTGATAACTAGTCAATGATGCCCTTCCATGGATTCACCTATATACGCCACAACTAAAGTAGCGAAAATAAGAGCTTGAATACCACTTGTAAATAATCCAAGGAACATAACAAGTATAGGAACTACTAAAGGTACTAACGAAACAAGAACAACAACTACTAATTCATCCGCTAATATATTTCCAAAAAGTCGAAAACTAAGTGATAAGGATTTTGTGAAATCTTCTAAGATGTTAATCGGTAAAAGGATTGGCGACATAACAGTCTGATTGAAAAACCTGAACAGAAAAATGAAAATTGAATGAATGAAAATCGAAACTTGATCCCACAACTGACAGTTGAATCCTCCCTGTCCATTCCTTTCCATGCTTCAAGTTCACAAGTTTCTCTATAGATGCACCATCTACTTAATATTAGTTTCCCATATTTCTTACTTAATGTAAACTTAAATATAGGAAATCGTCCTCCAAAAATTATGATGTGTTTTGCAATAGTATGAAGCATAAAAATAGCATACATGTAATTTCAATTGATTTAAGGATGTCTAATTTCTTAAAAGTATATCATATGAGATATTGATTAATGCATTGAACACAAATGAATGAGTGAAATAGAAAAAAAAATAACTTCTGACAATCAACCTATATCTCAGCATCAATGGTTTTTGTTATCATCCCTACCATATTCTGCACCATCGAAATCAACAATGATCAAAACATGCAACATAAGAACTACCTCAGAGCTACACGATATTTTTGGCCCAACTTCTCAAGTTCTGCCATTACACAGTCTATTATAATACACGAGGTATCTAAAAATCCAAAGTATAAATAGAACAATTGTAAGAATAATGCACATGATGACAGATTCAAAGACAACATGCCACATTGAAACACTAGCTTTTGAATCATGTGAAAGGACATCAAAACTTCGTAAGCTTTAAAAATCAACTGGAACCCAACATTCAACTATAATTTGAGTCAAGTAGTAATCAATTGAAACTCACACTTCACATATAAGTGGTCAATCATTCGTTTCTCCAAATCCAAATGTAACAAAGACCTTTGTGTGAGCCACCAACATAAAATTCTTTTTTCAAAGACCTTTGTGTAAATAAAGACCTTTGAAGATTTTTTAACAATTGCGATGTGGTGAGATTTGTCGGAACCTTAAGTGAACAACATCCATGATAGCTATGAAACATTATATGCCCTTGAATGACATTTGACTCGTACGCCATTCAACACAAATAGAACATCATCAATGGATTTTACAAAAAATAAATATTGAACAACATTTAAAACAAAGAAAACATTAAAATCGAACAACAACAAAGCGACAAACCAGTATTATTGTCACGGTGACAGATTGAACAGCTCTGGTGAGAGGAATTTGCAATGGGTACGTTGAAATGGAGATCGAATAGGGAGTTTTTGTTTAAAGAATTGGGTAATTTGAATGGTGTTAGAAAGAAATCAAATTTAAAGAGATTAGTTTCCCACTCTAACTCTTAACGTGACTTTTCACTACTCAATGCATTAAGGAGAGTGAGAGTTTCATTGAGGCAAAATATAATTCAATGGTCTATTTGAAAATTTGAAAATGACTTAGTCTTTCCATCTTTTTGCAGATTGTATGTTACGTGGAAAAAAATGAAAATGCATTATAATTTGACACATCAGTAATATTAATTGCAGGGATTCTATAAATTAAGCAAAGGATACATAGTCCAAATTAGGGGTGTTCAATACCAAACCGGCCCAATAGAAAATCGCAAAACTGAACCGAACCAAACCGAAACCGCAAAAAACCGCATTTGGTTCGGATGTGTTTGAGTCATTTTCTCGTGGAACCGCATGGTTCGGTTCGGTTTGCGGTTTGTATTTTACAAACCGAACCAAACCAAACAAAATCGCATTATGTTATAAAATCTTACTAACCAATATATATTTCTATAATTCTTTAGAGAAATCAACATGTATTATGTGTATATTTTATCATACTTTGTATTATATTCATTTTAATTTACAAATCATAAAAAATAAAATATTATTCATTTATAAATACTATTTTCACAAAATATATTTTATCATATTCTTTATATAATATTTATTTAAGAATGCAATCTTGTTGATATCATTATTTAGATTTAGATAAAATTATAATACGCAATTTTATGTATCAAATTATAAATTTATTTTGACAATTATAAATTTTTTATGGTAATGTATGAACAATTAAATATAAAATTATATTTT